CTTGTGCGTGCTGGGGTGACCTCCACTGGTACTCGATGGAGTGAGTGCAGGCTGGGGCTGTCCTGGCAAAGGGAAATCTCCAACTTTCTGCTTCCCAGTCCGATAACTCAGGCTTGGGGAGTGAGGGTGTGTGTGCTTTGGGGAGGGCATAAAGAGCTAATGTACTAGCTCGACAGCCCGCTGTTGCAATTTCCTAATGAACATTTTCAGTACCGGAACCATCCGTAGTTGCTGCAATTTAAAGGTGCAGGCTGCTTTGGGCAAGAAACCTTGAGAGGATATTAGATTGTAGAGCAGCAAAAGTGATCTACAGACAGAAGCCTAGGGGGTTAATGGCTCATTCGTCGACCAAGACTGATATGGATTGAGTTGTATAGGACTAAAATCACCTGGAAGTGTAAAGTCATGGATCAGCTTAAAAGGCAGGGTGTTGTAGAGCAGACCAGGCCCCTATGATGGGCTGTAGCACCTATGATGATGATGTCTGAATGGAAGAATGTGGTGAAACAGGCCAGGGCCCTACTAATGATCAGCGTTAACAAATTGATCTGTTTATCTACCTCTATTTAGCGGCTTACTTATTATAATTATTTAATTTGAAATTTTGGATGATGTTTAAGAATGATCAACACATAATTAAGTCTAGACATGGCTATAAATCAAAATTCAGCATGTACTGTAGATCCCTATTCAAAGACCTATTTACACAAAAAATATTTCAATGGTATAAGTGGGCTTTTGAGTCGGTCACAGGAGGTTTTCACCAGGTACACTGATTCTATTAAAAAAACAATAAGATTGTGTCAGTGTGTGAGCATATGACTGATTCTGTTCAGTGTGGTTACGGTATACATATATATAAAAGTGAAGTGAGTCGCTGTTATAGATAATACTGAATGTTTAATAGTTTTAAGTCTTTTTAATAAGCAATTATGTTTAAGGTTTCGATGAAAACCTTTAAAATAATTTCCCAGCCAAAACTGAAAGAGTACACTAATAAGCAGATTACACACTTTTCAGGGTTTTCCTAGCCAAAACTAAGATTGTGGTCGGGTTAAGATCCATTTGGGAATAAATTTCCAAGATCCCAATAATGGCAAGTTACCTCAAGATTATTACCCAGTGTGATAAATCAAGCATCAAGTTAAAATGTAAAAAAAATAAAACCACAAATTTGTTTTTAAATTAGTGGCATGGGTAATGAAAAATAAATAGAAAAAAAAGGACTGGATTTACCTGAAGTAAAATGTTGACCAGTCATTGTCCTGGCATGTCATGATTCCTCCTGCACATTCATCATAAGAGCAGCTGTGAATTCTGGCAATGATGGGGGTCTTCAAGTGATCTCTGTGAAAACAACAACTTTAACCTGGAAGTAAAATAATACATTAATTAGTAGAAGACAGAAACTTTATTATATTAGAGCGCAAGCTTGCATTAATATGAAGACAATATCCTATGAACACTTTTAACCTGAAAGTTACCATCATAAAAAGTACCAAAAAAATTAATCACACACTTGGTGTAATCATTGCTTTTACACCAGCCATGTTTACATGGGTGTTTCAACAAAAAATTCCTGGTTCTCTAAGGGAAAGTTGAATAGCTTTGTTTATTTAATCTATTAAATAGTTAAAGTCCAACCACTATTGGAATTAGGGAGGTGGTGTTAAATGAACAAAAGAAAACCTTCAA